AAACCCCCCCCCACCTACCCCTCCCTCTGCCCGCACATGCAGGCCAGCGGCCAGACGGCCGACCTCTCTGCCTCACCTGTCTCTCCCGAGTCACCCGCCTCGTCCAAGCCACCCGCCTCGTCCAAGCCACTCGCCTCGCCTGCCTCTCCCCAGCCGCTGCTGGTGCTACCTGGTGACTCGGCCATGGGCATCGAGACGGACGCTGGAGTCGAAGCCGAGATTAGAATCGATGGAGAAGGTGGAGGTCTCACTCGCCCGCACTCGCGGTCGATGGCAACTATGGCTGATGGAGAGCAGACGGCGGTGACTCAGGGGACTACCGATCATGAGCATTCGTTGCCGCCGGGGCAGTTGGTGGCGTCAGAGGCAGATCTACGCGCCGCTGAAGAGGCTGGCGATCTGGCGGGCACGCTTGCGGCTCTGGCCGGAATGGCATCACAGGCTGCGCATGCCGGTGCTCCCCGAGACGCTGTTGCCTACCTGGCGGCGGGCGCGTGCCTGGCCGAGGACGTCCTGCTTGAAGCCGCTGTCATCGAGAAGAGTGCAGAGACGGAAGACGCCCGCGCGACAGCGGCAGCAGTCATGACGACGCTCCGCTCCGAGCTGCGGAGCTTCCAGGCCGCCATCGGAGTGGTCATGGGCGACGCTGCTGGTGGTTTCACCCCTGCCCGCCCGCCTACGGCGCTGCCGGAGGAGACAGTGGTGCGGTGGCGGCAGCGGCACGCGGCGCTCAAGGCTGAGCTTGTCTCGGGCCTTGCTGCCGTTCTCGAAACGCCGCCGGATGGCCCATCACCGTCGGCCTCGCCCATGCCTGATGAGCCGCTGCCGCTTCCTCCGGCACTCGGCCTTGCGAGCCCACCGCTGCCGCCGGCTGCGGCCTCGCTCGGCATCCTGCTTCACGCCGCATCGGCCGGCGTCGAGGCGCTTCTCGCCGACATTGCGGCTGCCTGCGGCGAAGCACTCGGTGTGCACTCGGTGGTCGGCAGTGCGGCGTATGCTGTTGTAGCCCTCTCGCCTATCGCCACGGCCGAGGCACACGTGCTCTCGCCGGTGGCCGTCGCCATCCTGTACGGACCGGGCGGGAGCCAGCACGCCGACTGTCTCGCCCGGCTGGGCGAGCTTGTCGCCATGGGCGTGGTGGCACTCGGAGGCACGCCAGCGTTTGTCCTCCGCGAGTCGACGCACTCGCCCGTCACGCCCGGTCTCCGCCTCGCCTCGGGCCCGTCCGTCTTTGTCGGCACGCCGCTGCAATTCGCGCAGTGGGCCGTCCACCACCGCGTCGTCCGTCCGCTCTCGCTACTTGGCCCGGCGACCGCCGACGCGCGCGCGCTCCTCGACTCGGCGGTTGAGTTGCAGAGCGCTGCGGTCGACGCCGCCGTCGAGGTCGGCACCTCCCCGCCGCGAGCGTGGGTTCCAGACGCGGCGCGCTCTGCCTGCGCGCTCTGTGTCGCCAGCTTTGGCTTTCTTCGCCGTCGCCATCACTGCCGCCAGTGCGGCGAGGTGGTGTGCGCTAGCTGCTCACCACAACGCAAGCCACTTCCCAAACTCGGGCTCGACAAGGCGGTCCGGGTCTGCCGCGAGTGCGCGCCGCACCCGCTGCCGATGCGGCGCGAGCGCCACGACCGTGCGCTAGCCGCTCTCTCGGTCGCAGTTGTCCAGTTTGCGCCAAGCGTTTGGCACGTCGCCGCCATCGACGGTGAGACCGTCTGCGGTGGGCCTGGTCGGCTTGGCACGCGGGTCTTTGACGCCCATACAGGCGCCTGGGACTTTGTCCACACCGTTCTTGATGGTCTTGCGCTGTACGCAGGCCTCGCAGGCACTTGGACAAGCACCAGTGGCCTTGTCGAGGCGCTTGTCGAGGACCAGCTGGTGAGCCCTCCGTGGGCGCTGCGGGTCTCGCAGCTTGTTGCTGCCCTCGCTGCGCTCCGGGTCGAGGCGCAGGTCTTCCACGGCACGTCGTCGGCCGAGATGACGGTGCGCGGCGCTGAGGCCAGTGGCGTCTTTTCCATGGGCCGCGGCCTCCGCGCCGCGCTCGTCCACGCCTGGCGGGTCCTTCTCCCACTCCGCGAGTGGGTCGAGGCTTTTGTGCTCTCGGCCGAGGCCGCTGCGGGCGGCAGTCCGCAGCTGGACGACAAGGCACTGTATGACGAGAGCCCGCGCCCAGTCGGCGCGGTCGCGCTTCTGCTCGGCGAGTATGCTGACGCACAGGAGATGCTGGCACCACTGGTCGAGCTCAACCCGCACGTGGTCTTTGATCTGGGCATGCTTGTGGCCGCGCTGCGGTGGTCCGGCGCCCACGACGATGCGAGCGCCCGGGTCGCGGCTGCCTCTGTTGCGCTCTCGGCGCAGTACAAAAAGTCCGCCTCGCGCATGCACCCGACAGAACTGCGGCTCCTTGCCGAGCGCCTGGCGCAGGTCCACGAGCTGGAAGCTGTGCTCGCCCTCAGCATTGCCGACGGTCGCGCCGCGGTGGAGGCTGCAGCCGCGGCCTACGCGCTGCGGACCAAGCATCTCGGGCCTGAATCTGCACTCACTGTCCTCTCGGGCTTGTGGGGCGGAGTCATAGAGGCCCGCTGGCGCGGCATGGACATTGAGCCCAACGAGGCCATGGTCGCCGAGCTTGTGGCGGGCGTCGAGTTTCTGCTGCAGACAGGGGCGCCTGGCGCGGCGCTTGCGGCCCGAGTCGCAATCTGCGCCGCGCGGGCACTGGTGGCGTGCGGCAGCCCTAGCCCGGCAGTCGACGTCCTCGCGCGGGTCCTTGAGTCAGTTGCGGGTACGCTTCCGCGGCTGGGCGTCCAGATTGCGCCGCATGTCCGCGTGGCTGTTCTCGAGGCATACGCCCGATACGGTGGTGCCTCACCCGAAGGCGCCATCCGCGCCGCCGAGCAAGTTCTTGCAGAGCAGCTCTCGCCCGAGCTGGCGGTCGATGACGCGATCGGTGCCATGCGCTGGGCGCGCCCGGTCCTTGCCCGCGGCGCCATTGGTGCAGCCTGCCATGCCCATGCGGTCTACTACTCGGTTGTAGTCGATCTCCGGCGATGCGCGCGTGCGCTGCGTATTGCGCTCGCCACGCGAACCCTCCAGCCACAGGTGGTTGTGGCCCCGAGTCGCGCGAGCTCAGTCAGCTCGTCGTTTGAGCTGGAGTCGATGGTCCGGCTCCCGGCCGCCGAGTCTTCCGGCTCGCTCGCACCCGAGCCGTTGCCGGCTGCGCCGGGGACCCCGTCGAGTCTCTCGGGCATGCTGGCAGCGGTCGATGGCAGCGGCGCTGCGCAGCAGCGATGCATCGTCGAGCTGGAGCGGCGGTTAGGCCTTGTCTCGCTGCAGATGGGCCTCAACGACGACGCGATGGACTTGCTGGAGAACAACGTCGACGACCTCGAGTACCTGGGGGCGAGTGCAGCTGAGCTTGCCGAGGCGCGGGCGTATCTGGGGCGGGCGGCGCTCGATCGAGGTGAGGCCGCAACGGCGCTGGCGCTGGCACGGGGGGCGGTCGACGCGGCGCTCCAAGCGTACGGCGCACACGGCTCGCTCTGCATGTGGGCCGGAGCGCTCGAGTGCGAGGCGCTGGCAGTGGTTGGTGAGGACGCAGAACTCGGGGCGCGGCGTGGGGCGCTGCTAACAGCAGTCCGCGAGATCGGGGTCGACGTCGGCGACGAGGGTGCCCAGCTGGCGTGGAAGCCGTTTGCGCTGCCAGGCCTTGGCCTCGCTGTCGCGCCCAAAATCCTAGCGGCGCGGATTGGGACCGAAGGCCGGGCGTACATGCGGCTGGCGACGACAGCGGCGTCGGCTAGCGAAGCCATCCGGTTTGTCAAGCTCGCGCTGCCGCTGCTCCGCGTCGGGCTCGGCGTGGATGACGTGTGTGTCGCCGAGGCCCACGAGCTACTCGGGTGCTGGCTGCGGGCGTCGGGCCTGGTCGCCGAGGCGTACGCGCACTTTGAGGCTGCGTACGCGGTGTACATCGGGCTCTGGCTCAAGCGCGGGACCGAGAAGTTGACACTCGGCACACTTGTAGCCGCCCACGAACATGTCGCTTGTGCGCTGCTCGATCTCGACAAGCCCGAGGCCGCGCTCGCGGTCTTCACCATGGCGCTCGGCTACGTCGAGGTCGGGACCGTGGCTTTCGGGAGCGCCGGCGACAACGGCAGTGAGCGGGTGCTCGAAACCGATGCCGAGTCGGACGAGACAGAGGATGGGACGCGCGCGCCGGGTGCCGGCTTGGACATGCCGCCGAGAAGGGGCGTAGGCGAGGTCGATGTCGACGGCGCGGTGGCATCATCGTTTGTCTCGGCGTCTTTTGGACTCGGCGTCGCGGCGCCGAGCCCGCTCCTCCCACCGAGTGGGACTACAACAACTTGGTGGCACTCGTCCGGAGCGCGCGGCCGCAACGCAGTCGCGCTCTCGCCGTCGCAGCTTGTCGGCGAGCTCATCGCAGAGTTCCGGGTCCACGGCGAGGAGCGCGACGCGCGGTGCGGGGCTGAGCGCTTCCACTCGCGCGCCATGTGTCTCGCCGTCCTCCGCATGCACATGGCGAGGGTGTATGCGCAGCTCGGCGAGGTCGAACTCACCATTGCCGCCGCAGAGTCTGCGCTCTCCGCCGAGATGGCGGTCGAGATCTCGCTCCGGATGGATGGCACCTTCTACACCACCCTTGCCGCCGCAGTCGAGTCGGTCACCGGCAAGTGCACCTTTGCCGCCCGCCTCCGCAACGCCGAGGAGCAGACCGAGGTGCGGCGTCGAGTCGCCGCCTCGCTCCAGAGCATGTGACGGCTCGGCTGCTAACAGTTGACTGGCGTTGATAAACGATGTGATGTCCATAGACTCGATGGGCTCCATGTCGTTCGAGTCTGTCGGTCCAGCCGCCAGCCGCCAGCCGCCAGCCGCCAGCCGCCAGCCGCCAGCCGCCAGCCGCCAGCCGCCAGCCGCCAGCCAATGGACGACTTGCCCGCACCCACCACCACCAACACCTCACCCACCACCACCACCACCACACCCACACCCACACCCACAACCACAACCACAACCACACCCACACCCACACCAACACCAACACCCACACACACACCCACACCCTCAGCCGCTATGCCCCGCAACCGCCGCGGCCGGCAGCGCAAGAAGCGGACGGGCAAGGCGACCACGGCCACGGCCACCACGGCCACGGCCACCACGGAGGCCACGGTCACGGCCACTCCCGCAGCCGGGCCACGGTATGCGGTGCCACAGGCTGTGGTCAAGTCGCTACGGAAGGAGCTGGTCGGAGGAGTCGTGCCGAAGGAGCTGAAGGAGGCTCACCAGGAGGTGGTGGAGAGGATGCGCGACATGGCCGACAACGCTGCCGACGACGACGCCGGAGACGATGGTGTCGTCGGTGGCGCGGTTGGACAAGGGGGGATGGCGGGCGACGGCAAAGGTGACGGCAAGGCGGATGGAAGCGGATGGGCAGACGATGGAGGTGCTGGCGCGGTGGCGATGGAGGTCGAGGGCGGGAAGAGCTGGAGCAGGCCCGGCGAGACGCGCAGGCAGCGCAAGGTCCGGCTGCAGCAGGAGGCGGTGGCCAAGCTCAAGGTGGCTGTGGCCCGGCCGGAGCTTGTGGACTCGGCGGATGTGTACGCCCGAGATCCGCATCTCTTGCTGCATCTCAAGGGCTACCACAACTCGGTGCCGGTGCCGGTGCACTGGAACGCGACGCGCAAGTACCTGGCAGGTAAGCGGGCGGCCGACAAGATCCCGTACGTGCTCCCGCCGTACATTGAGGCCACCGGTGTGGCGCAGATGCGCCAGGCCTTTGTCGACTCGCAGGAGAGCAAGAGCCTGCGTCAGCTCGGCCGCGACCGCATGCGCGGCAAGATCGGCCGCATGGACATGGACTACCAGGTCCTCCACGATGCCTTCTTTGTCCACCAGACCAAGCCCAAGCTAACCGGCCACGGCGAGCTCTACTATGAAAACAAGGAGCTAGAGGTCGACCACTCGGCCGCCAAGCCCGGCGTGTACTCGCAAGAGCTCATGCTCGCGCTGGGCATGCAGCCCGGCGGGCCGCCGCCGTGGCTCATCAACATGCAGCGGTACGGCCCGCCGCCGAGCTACCCGGGGCTCAAGGTGCCTGGTGTCAACGCGCCGCTTCCGCCCGGCGGGAGCTACGGCTACGAGCCCGGCCAGTGGGGCAAGCCGCCGGTCGACATCTTTGGCCGCCCGCTCTACGGCAACGTCTTTGCTCCGCCCGAGCCCGAGGGTCCGGCGCCTGGTGCCGCCATCAAGGGTGCTGCCCGTGCGTGGGGCGAACTCCTCGACGACGAGTTTGACGACGACGATGATGACGACGACGAGAGCAGCTCCGAGTACGAATCTTACGACGACGACGATGACGACGATGCCGTCAACGACGACAGTGGCGCCGGTCCTGCCGGCGGCAACGTCGCCCACATGGACGTTGTCTCGGCGCCGGCCATGGACGAGCCGGCGCCGGCGGTCCACGAGCGGCCGCTCTACACCGTGCTCGAGCAGCGGAGCGCCACTGTCGGCGCAGGTAGCCTCATGGGCTCGGCGCACACGTACGCCATCCCGGTCACCGACGAGGCGCAGCTGGCCGACCCGCAGTTCCTCGCCAAGCACGCGGCTGCAGCCGAGGCGGCAGGCGCCATGCCGGCGGCGAGCAGCAAGGTGGCGGGCAAGAGCAAGGTGCGCGTGCCCGACGCGTCGAACTTCAAGTTCTGAGGCGGGAGAAGGCGCGTGAGGAGAAAGCGGACGATTTACTCGGTCTTGACCGGCTTCTTCTTCTTGGGCATCAGCATGGGCACCACAATCATGGAGCCGATGGTGAGGACGTGGCCGAGGAAGAGCTCGGCCTTCCAGATGCGCCACGAGGCGTCCCAGGCCAGAAGGGTAAACGGCGTGCAGGTGTAGTTGAGGACGACGGCGGTGAGGAGGAAGGAGGCGACGTCGTAGAGCGGCTTGAGCGAGGTGCCGGCAAACTTGGGGCGGAGGAGCTTGCGCAGGCCGCGGGCGGCATTGTTCATGAGGGCGCCGGAGGAGAAGGTCATGTAGTAGCCCGGGTAGAAGCCATGCCAGAAGGCCGAAGTCATGTAGGTGAGCATCTGGACGTAGAACGGAGCGCCCTTGGACGGATCCGGGTTGAGGCGGTTGTAGACGTAGCGGCGGAGCCAGACAGCCGTCCCGATGTTCCAGTTGGCCATGACCGAGCGGACGTTGGGCGCAAACTCGACCTCGAGCACCTTGACGTTAGTGATGAGGTCCCAGGTGCCCTTAACCGAGTCAAAGCCAAAGCCGGCGGCGTTGCACCCGCCCTCGGCGAGGAACCAGCCAAAGTAGTACTTGTAGCGGTACATGGTGACCGAGAGCCACTGGTAGCCAAGGCGGTGGAGGAGCGGCAGGGCCCAGTACTCCTCGGTAGACATGAACTGAGTGTCGAACGCGCCGCCGAGAACGACTCCAGCCATAAAGACAAACGAGAGCAGGAGCTTGGTGACCGAGGGAACCCAGGCCGACGGCGAGCCCTCGGCCGAGACCGAGCGGCGCATAAAGGCGCGGTAGTCGGAGAACTCAAACGAGGGGCCAGCGAGGAAGCCGCCAAAGTAGTACACAAACGAAAAGTACTCGAGGAGCGAGGGCATCTCGGTCACGGCGCACTTCTTCTGCTCCTTGTCGCACTTGTCCAGCTGCTCACCGTCCGACACGTTGTAGGCAAACGAGGAGAGCTTGATGGTCAGAATCATCTGCGGGCCGGTAAAGTCGAGGGTCCAGCCCATGTAGTCGGTGTACTGCCGGTAGATGTGGCAAAGGCACATGTAGCCGAGGGTGAAGATGAACACGATGATGCTGTGTGTGTGTGTGTGTGCGTGGAGGGGGGGGTGTGAGTGGGTGAGGGAGAGGAGGGGCTGGCCGATGGTGGCAGAGGCTCTACAGTGGCAAGGGCCCCATGGTGGCAAGGGCCTCATGGTGGGCGATGATGGGGAAGATTCATGGCACTGGTGATGTGATGGTGGTGATGGTGTGGGTGTTGGTGATGGATGGCGGTGGGGGGTGGCAGAGGGGGGGGGGGTGGACCGCCGCGGGATGGCGGCAGGGGAGGGAGGGGGGGGGGGAGGGGGGAGGGGGCGTACGGACGAGACTTGCCCTTGACGGTGCAGATCAGAATGTAGGTGACAAGGGCGGTGATGAAGGAATGGATCATGCCCTCGCGGAAGACGTAGAGACCCATGGCAAAGCCCAGGATGGTGGCGTAGAGCTGGCGGATGAGGAGGGACTTGGGCAGGAGGCGGAAAATAAGGGCGAGCGGGTAGACGAGGAGGAGGCACGAGACGTAGCGGAGCTGGTCCATGGGGAAGCCCACAGCAGCAGAGACTCCAGAGAGATGCTCGTCAAGTGCAGAAAAGAGTGGGTTGTCCACAGACGGGATGGCCTTGCCCACCTGCTCAATGAACTCCATGGTACACGGTCAAAGTTGGGTGTCCCTCCATCCCCCCCTCCCGCCAAACTCGCCTCCGCTCTCGGCTGCCGTACCACTTGCCGGCCGCCCATCACTGAATGACGCGCGGTGGCGCCAAAAAATAATAAGAAAAGCGCGCTAAAGACTCGTGGGCGACTTGGGGGAAGAGTTGGCCTGGGCTATCAGGAGAGCGAGAACATGGGATCGAGGATGACGGGTAGAAGATAGAGGGAGGGGAGGAGAGGATGGATGGGGGGGGGGGATGGATAGCAGAACAGGCCCGGAGAACGTGGGTGCTTTCTGATGAAGTTGATCAGAGAACGTAGATCAGTGATTTTGGTGCGTTGAGAAGGGCTGATCTGAGCGAGCAGTCTGATCGGGAAGCGATCAAAGTGGATGTGATGGAAAAGGCAATGCTTGACGGAAGCTGAGGGAAGCTACCCACCCCCTCCATCCCACTCCCACCCCCCTCTTCCCCTCGTTGCCATCCTCCCGCCCCCTCTCTCGCCCTCCATCACTCCGTGCCTAGCCGAGTCGTCATCGGTCACGCTCGTGATCAGCCGCCAGCCGCCCGTCCACCCAACTCCCCCCTCACCCCCCCCCCCCACCCCCCCCTTCCCCCACCCCCACCCCCACCCCTACCCACATGCCCCGCCTTCTCTATGTGTCGGTGCCGTCACCACAAGCTGGGCAGGTGGCGCGTGTGCTCAACGAGCACCCGGCGGTCCACTCGTTGGCGTCGGTGACCGGGCCTGAGTCGACGCTGCTGCGGTTCCGGACGACGGACAAGGGATCGGACGCTGTGCTGTCGGTGCTGGACGCCGAGGGTGTGGGAGTCGACTTTGGCGTTGTTGATATTGTCTCGCTGCTGGGCACAAAGCCGCGGCTCGGTGGGAGTGCTGCAGCCAGCGGTGGGCGCAAGAAGCGCCGGTATCGGGTCTCGGACAGAGCCTCGTTGGAGGAGATCTACGAGGTTGTCGACTCGCAGAACCATCTGACGTTTAACTACCTCGGCTTTATCCTTGTGGCGGCGCTCATTGCTGCCGTCGGCCTTGCCACAAACTCGGAGGCTGTCGTTGTCGCTTCAATGCTGGTCTCGCCGCTGATGGGCCCTATCATGGCCATGACCTTTGGCACCGCCATCTCGGACCCGGTCCTCCGCTACAAGGGCGCCCGCAACGAGATCATTGGTTTCCTCCTCACCTTTGCTGTCGGCTTTGTGTGGGCCTTTGCCACTTGGCCGTTCCCGGACCTGTGGGGGACCAACGAGCAGCTCTCGCGCGGCGGGCCGGCTGGCGTCTACGCCGGCATTGCCCTCGCCATCCCCTCAGGCATCGGCGTCGGTCTCGCCACTACCGGAGGCGGCATCTCGGCTCTTGTGGGCTGCGCCATCTCGGCCGCACTTCTTCCGCCGGTCACAAACTCGGGCATGTACGTTGGCTACTCGATTGTTCAATGCACGCCCATCGGCGGGACCCAGAGCTGCTCGCACTCGCTGAGGGTTGCCGGCTACTCGTCGCTTATCTTTGCCGTCAACGTGTTCTTCATCTACATCATGGCGCTTGTTGTCTTCAAGCTCAAGAAAGTCCGCTCGCTGACCAAGCCGTCGGCGCAGTACACCGAGCTCCGCGAGGACTGGTACTCCAACGGGAGCCCGGCCACCCACTTGCTCTCGACCTCGCACTTGGCAGAGGCCAACGAGTCCATCGAGACCGTCCGCCCGGGGCTCGACCTCATCTTTGGCAAGCCGCGGAGCCGGACCAAGGACGAGTAGTCGCGCTCGTACCCTCTGCCGCGCTCAGCCAAACAGCGCGCGCGCGTTGCGGATGACCACAGAGACGACAACCCGGACGCTGCCGCGCGAGTCGGTCTCCAGCGAGTCCATGCCGCCAAAGCCGCCGCGCCGCGCCCCAAGCTCCACCACCGACTCGTCAGTTAGGACTGGCGAGCCGCCGAGGAAGAACGCCTTGACCGCGTCGCCAAGCCCGAGCGCAGGGCGCCAGACCCCGGTCTCCAGCTCGTGCATGCCGGCCTCACGCGGAAGAGGGAGCACTGCATACCCCTCCAGATGGTTGAGCCCAAACATGTCCTTGGAATACACACGGAGCACAAACTTGGGCCATCCGCCTACCCGCGGTGAACTCACGCCGACGTACCGGACGTCGACCGGGTGCGCCCACACAGGCTCCTTGCCGCCGGCCGCGTGCGTGATGCCCACGCTCGAACCGTAGCCGCGCGGCCATGGCTCGTGCAGGCTTCCGGCCATCAGCGACCACTCGCAGAACACGTCCCGCCCGCCAAACCCGGTGCCGCCCGCCACCTGGCCCACGATCACCACCTCGGTCTGTCCGGGCTCGTTGGGCGCCGGTGCGCGCTGCGATGGCGCAAAGAGCGAGCCCACGCTTCCGCCACCTATTACCAGCCGTCCACTAGCACTTCCTGCGCCGCTACCCGGACCACCAGCCGGGTCTGCTCCGCCGTCATCGCCGTTGCTCGTTGGCGCAGAGGCGGCTGTGGCCGAGCCAGCTGCGGCAGCAGTGGCGACTGTGGCAGCGGCAGACGATGCGGCAGCAGGCTCGTCCTCCCCAGCGACCTCCTTGCCCTTGTCGAACCTTTGTTGAGGGACCTTGGTGCCTGTGACCGGCTTGCCCTCGTTGCTCCTGATGCCCGACGTGTCGGCGGCCTTGTTGGCCGACTTGCCTGCCGAGTTGGCGCCAAGAACCGGCGGCATGGGCAGGACATTGTCGTCGGACGAATACTCATAGGTGTACGACGAGAGCCCGTCGTCCAAGGCAGACGTCTCGTCCATGGTGTGAGGGGAGAGGAGGGAAAGGGGGGGGGGGA